GTGGGCCCGGCCCGGCGGCGGCGCCATGTGGAGCGGCCGCAGCTCCTTCACCAGCCTGGTCGTGGGCGTGTTCGTGGTGTACGTGGTGCACACCTGCTGGGTCATGTATGGCATCGTCTACACCCGCCCGTGCGCCGGCGGCGGCAACTGCATCCTGCCCTACCTGGCGCGGAGGCCCAAGCTGCAGGTGAGCGCAGGCTCCTCCCACTTGAGCTCTGACCTCTGACTTCGGGGCGAGGTCAGGGGCCAGGCCCTTCGCACCTGAACCGGACCCGGACTCCACACCCCGTGTCCTAAAGACCCTTCCCGCACGCGGGCCCCTGGGCCCGTCTTCACCCCGTCTTAAGACGCCCAGAGTCGGTGTACCCCTGCCCGGCTGATGAAGCGGGTCAGACACTGTAGCACAGTGTCCCTTGCAGCAGGCACGTCCGCTCCGCCATCCTGTCACAGGTGGGAGTTAAGGTGCACCTTCCCCCGTGGTAGCTGGTGCGTGTCCCTCCCTCCAGTCGCTGTTTGCCGCGTGTGCTTTCCGCCAGGGGTCTTGCCCAGCTGACTTTCTTGGCGTCCCTTCCAGCTCAGCGTGTACACCACCACGCGGTCCAACCTGGGTGCAGAGAACAACGTGGATCTGGTCTTGAACGTGGAGGACTTTGACGTGCAGTCCAAATTTGAAAGGTATGGATGTGGACTGAGTGACGGGAAAACGTCATTATCGTTGAGATGGTGGAAAAGTCAGCGTTCTGCATGTGAGGGGTGACCTCAGAGAAGCAGTGTCACCTGCCATCTCCTGCTTTACCTGCAGATGTGTGTGGTACACAAACAGTCGGACTTTGGTTTCACTTGAAAGTGGCAGGTGTCGTTTATCAGCTAGGAAGTAGATTACGGCAGCCGATGCTGATGGCCGGGATCAGCGCAGCCATGGGGGTTTCCAGAGGAGCAGGTGCTGTGGCGGGGATGAAGTTGGGGACAGACCTTGTACAGTTTCCCGCAGCAAACAGCTTGTCTTCCTGGTGCAAGTGGCTCAGTTGGGTCTCCTGTCAGGGAAGGAGAAGGGATGGAGGAAAGAATTTAGCAGAAAATCGTAATGAAGTGAAATATTGTATAACAACGGACCAAGCAGTGTTTAAGTGTTCAGATGCATAAAGTGAGTTCTTAAAGTTGCATTTAACCTATGGTTCTCGTGTTTTGAATTTCAGCGAGGTAATTTTTAAAATGGTTAAAAATGATGTGCTTGTCAAGAGTGTACGTCTTTGGGCGGCAGTGCAGCAGGCAGAGGGCACTCGGGCTTGGAGTTGGCCTGGTTAGCCTGGGCATGCACTGAGTTCTGACTCCCGAGCCTGGGAAACGGGGCAGGAAGTGCAGGACTTTCAGAACGTTTCGTAAATGTCCAAGGTTAGGATTTCAGTGGTGTCTAGGCAGGTGGGTTTCATTTTTAGTACTTTCAGCAAAAATTAGTTGTGCAGTTTCAGACGTTATTTATAAGGGTACTTGAGTGGTCTCCACCGTGTGTGTACGCAGAACGTAAAATGTAGGTGGTTGAATTGTCATTTGTTTCAGGACAGTTAATGTTTCTGTGCCAAAGAAAACCAGAAATAACGGGACGCTGTATGCCTACATCTTCCTCCACCATGCGGGCATTCTCCCGTGGCAGGATGGGAAGCAGGTGCACCTGGTGAGCCCTCTGACCACCTACATGGTCCCCAAACCAGAAGAGGTCAATCTGCTCACTGGGGAGTCTGCTACTCAGGTGGGTATCTCCATCAGGTTACCTACCAGCTGAACGAAGCTGCTCACCCTCCCTGGAGTTCTCTCACGCGTGTCTGCATGTGCAGTTTGCGTCTGGGGCTGGACTGCTAGAAAGGAAAGCCGTCTGACGTTATTGGTGTGCAAACCTCTCAGCTCAATGATTCCTCATTGTTTTGGAGATAAATTTTACATCAAATTAGTGACATGCAGTTTAAGGAGTTCAGTGACTTCCTTTACCCAGGTTCCTTCTCAGGCCCCAGAGAGTGTGTGTGTCCCCGGGGGTTCGGGACAGCCTCTTCTGTGGAGCTCAGCTGCAGTCAAAAACCTTTCCTCTGTCCCTTCTCCTTGCGAGATGGTACACTGTGTATAGGACAGGACAGCGTGTGAATGTTTATTCTGAGGGTATAACTCAGAACTATGGAAGAGGCATATGTACAAATTATTTCTCATGCACACACACAAGCTCTGTACAAAGAAGGGTGGGAGGCTGTGTAAGCGATCGTTAGCAGAGTGGAGTGTGAAGCAGGAATCCTGGTGTTGGGGCCTGTGTTGAGTGGGAGACGAGGTCATCACAGAGAGAGATGGCAGCGCTCCAGGAAGTGTCTGTGGAGCTGCCTCATGCTGTGCGCCCTTGGAAAGACCCCTTGTTCCCTTTTCGGGGCCCACGTGACGCTTCATCCCGGGGGCCTTCCTGGAGAGTCAGTGAGGCGGCGGGCGTGGAGGGTATGAAGGAGTCTGTGACACATATGGGGCTGAGTATACATTAGCTGTCTCTGTTCCTCAGAAAGCCACCTTTTTTGTAAGTCATTGTAGCTAAACTATAGGTTTAGGTAGGAGATAAATAAAGTGATAGTGCTTCATAGGACTTATCAATTCCATCTGAAATAAAGGTTTCCTGCACATCAGACTGTTTCTGAATGTAGTGATGTTTAGGGCTGACATCCAGTCGTGGACACATCCCCCTCCAGGCAGCTGGACGTAGCTGGTTTAGAAGCATCTCCCACTCAGGCTCCTCGCACACCACAGGCCTCTTAGCTCCAGATTTCCTGCCCCTCCCCCTGCTGGCCCAGGGACTTGTCCTTCTCAGGTCCCTACTCAGAATGAGGACCCAGACCAGGAGTTGGGAGATACATGTGACAAAACAGTTTCACTTCAGCTTCTGCTGAGGGCTGTAGGAGTCCAGGAGCTGGCAGCTGAGGGTCCCCGCTGCTTCCGCGCTGGTCGGGCATCCTGGCTCGGGGGCTGTTCCAGGGGAGGTGCTGGCCGCCTTGCTGCCCGAGCTGCCCTGCCTCCGCCCTGCGCCCTGGGCCCGTCCTGCTAAGTCACCCTTTTATTAAGCAGCAGATCGAAGCTGAGAAGAAGCCGACAAGTGCCCTGGATGAGCCCGTTTCTCACTGGAGACCAAGGCTGACCCTGAACGTGATGGTGGATGATTTTGTTTTTGACGGCGCCTCCCTGCCTGCCGACGTGCATCGATACATGAAGATGTAAGTGTCGCTGTCCGGCACCGAGCCTAGGGCCAGGCTGCAGGAGGGACACTGTCAGATGTGCTTTCCTGCCCAGCTCTGAGCCCCACTCATTCACTCCGTGAGCTGCCAGCTGGCCCGTTGCCTCTGACTCGCTTATGGTTGCCTAAACCTTTGTCCTCAGATCTCCTGTCACTGTCAGTTTCCCCCGTAAGTACAGCTGGCAGATGCACCAGCCTGCATAATCCCGTGACTCTGCACCATGGGGCCCCGTTAAGTCATGACCTGTCACCTGGAAACAGCTGTGATAAGAACTGTCCCCTTGTTGATTTCCCAGTGGCTCCAGGGGTCTCGTCATCAGGTTTTCCCTTTTGTAAAATTTAACTCTCATCTTCGAGTGTGTAACGCATTCCCCTAGTTCCCAGTGTGGAAGCCGCAGCAGGAGCACTGGGGCAAGGCCCCTTGCCCGCTCCCGGGCGCCGAGGGTGGAGGCCCTTCTCACCACATCACGGGCCACCCACGTCAGTGCAGGTGGCCCCGTGCTCTTTGCCACCTGGATGCTGTTCCACCGTGTCCCAGGTCCCCGTTGTCTCACCCCTCCTTCTGGTGGCCCTGGGGTCTCCCACCCAGGGCTGCGGCTGGGCGGGGAAACAGCAGAGCTTGTGAGGACCCCATGCTTCCCTCAGGGAGGCATGTCCTCCACTGTTGCGACAAGTGACTGCAGACGCTGGGAGTTGGGGGATCCTGAGAGGCACAGCCAGCGTCTCTGAGGCGCCTTTAGTCCTGGGGGTGCAGGTTGTGAGGCGACTCCAAATCTGACCCCCAGGGTCCAGCTGGGGAAGACTGTGCACTACCTGCCCATCCTCTTCATCGACCAGCTCAGCAACCGCGTGAAGGACCTCGTGGTGAGTGGGTGTCACTCCCTGGACCCGCTGCTCCTGCGTGTTTCAGGGGGCTCGGGGTTGCTGCTGATCGGCACCCCCTGCCTGTGTCTCGCACGCCCAGTGAAGGGCTCTGGAAGGACCCTTGGTTCAGTGTGTGGATGGCGGGTGCACAGCTCCTGTCTTCACACGAGGCCACGTGCTCGTCAGGAAAGTCTCGGCAAAGCCTGCCTCCTCTGGGACTGTCCTGCCGTGTTGGTGGCTTGCTCTCTGTGGAGGTGTGTCCCTGTTGCGCGGGGGCCTGTTTAGGTGACCTCTCCAGCTGAGGTCCCCTACCCAGCGTTTTCTGGCCTGCACCGCGGGCAGACCTCAGCTGCACTGGGTTCTGCTGACTCGCACAGTGCCTTGGGTGCGAGGGGCTGTCGGTCACAGCCAGCAAGGCCCTTGGAGCCGGCCCCATGCAGGCACTTGGGAGGCTGTGGGGAGAGACAGTCTGGCCGGGTTGCTGGAGGCACCTCTGTTCTTGTGACCACCTGGGGGATGCAGTTTAGTCAAAGGCCTGGCATCAGCAGTGCTGTGTTCAGACACAGAGTCGTGCGCATCCAGCGGGCTCCCTCCCAGACCATTTCTCTGGCCAGTAGTCCTTGGTCTCGCTTGGAGCCGCCTTTCAGAGGGAATGCTGTCTTTGGAGAGACACAAGCTCACTGGGGTGACAGGGCCTAGACAGTGCCCCCGGACGGGCCTGGCCTGCCACCTGCCTGCCGAGGCCGGTGTGCTGCCCAGGGGATGGGGGACCAACGTCGGGGCTGGGTGTCCAGTCCATCCTGGCCCATCTGGTTGCCGGGCTCCTGCCACTCACTGTCTGCTGTGAGTGTCGTGAGTGAGGTGGGGCCCAGGGAGCAGACCGCACCCTGCCACGCGGTGCCGTGGGACGTGGCGCTCCTGTGGAGGGGTTACTGCTCTCCCCACTTCCCCCTTCGCACACACACGTCAGTTCTGTGCACACTCAAGAGCTCAGCTCAGGTGCCACCTCTTCCTGAAGCTCCCACTGTCCCAGTGTGTGTGACTGCCCTGCCCTGCTGTCCCAAGTGCAGCCTCTCCCGAGTGCTCGACCCTATGTGCAGGCAGGGTCTCACAGCCACCGTCTCATGTCCATCCTGGGGAGAGGCTGAGGCTCCTGCAGGCTGGTGCTCAACCCGGAGACACAGGCTGCTGGTGGTGCCGTGCACACCCACAAAGCCCCAGCTCATGGGGCTGTGACACATATGAGACACACAGGGGTCAGGTCATTGAGAGGGGATGAGTGCTGGCCGCTCGGAGGGGGCTGGGAGGGCTTCCTGGAGGAGGTGCCCTGCTCGGTTCCAAGAGGACAGCATGGGGATGGGACCCCGGGTAGGGGAGGAGGGGCGAAGGTGGGAGACTGGCCTTGGATCCAGCCAGATCCACCGTGGCTGCGTGGGTCTGGGTCGGCGCAGAGCCTAGGGCAGGCCTGGGGTGTGTGGCCAGATGGCCCTCATGACCGCCCTTCCTGCCAGGTCATCAACCGCTCCACCACGGAGCTGCCCCTCACCGTGTGCTACGACAGGATCTCGCTAGGGAGGCTGCGCTTCTGGATCCACATGCAGGACGCTGTGTTCTCGCTGCAGCAGTTCGGTGAGGACGCCGGGTGGGCCGCCCTGGGGTGGGGGGTGGTTCCCCGCAAACCTGGCAGGCTGGAGCCTGAGATGCAGGTTCCTCACTCCGGTTCCACTCTGGGAGTGCAGGCGTCCGTGAGGACGTTCTCCCGGAGCACCTGGGGGTCTGTCTAGTCGCACTTTACATAACAGACCCCTTTTGACTGGGAGCTCCTGCCAACACGGCGCAGACCCCGCCTTCGGGGCTCCCACGTCGCTCGTGGTCCCCCGGCTCATGTGGGGTCTCCTTCTCCACAGGGTTTTCCGAGAAGGACGCAGACGAGGTGAAAGGGATCTTCGTGGACACCAATCTGTACTTCCTGGCCTTGACGTTCTTCGTGGCAGCGTTTCACGTGAGTGGTCCTGGGAAGGCCGGGCACGCGTGGGCAGCTCCCTAGCTGGGCCGTGTGGTCTGCACGCCGGGACTTCCTTCCCCCGCACCTCAGGCCCTGACCACCTGTGGGACAAGAGGTTTTGTCTGCTGGTTTTGGAAGCCGTTTTGAAAAGAATTCAAAACCAACAAGATGGATGAATGATTTGTAGAACAAGCGTTTGCTTGGGTAGGGTCTAATGTGGCAATTCTCGCAGTGACAAACCAGGCCCACCGGTAGGGTCCCTGTGGGACAGGCAGAGGTGTCGCGGGGTGGGGGGGCCTCAAGGCACAGGCCTGGCAGTCGGCCGCCAGTCGGACTGAGACTGGCCTGAGCTGTGCAGGGAGACGTGGGTTTTCCTGAGCTGTGGCGTCTCGGGGCAGAGCAGCAGGGAGAGCCTGAGGGGCCGCTTGCCGTCTCGTCTTCCTTCAGCTGCTCTTTGACTTCCTGGCATTTAAAAATGACATCAGCTTCTGGAAGAAGAAGAAGAGCATGACCGGCATGTCCTCCAAGGCAGGTGGGTGCCCAGGGCCCCCGGCCACAGAGCGCGCCCCCCCCAGCACCGCAGGCCCGCCGCTTCTCGTGGGGCCTGTGCTGTGTGACCGCCTCTCGTTCACGAGGTGCCTTGGAGCCC